TTCTGTTTAACAATAAAAATTAGCCCTTGTCTCTGGAAGACTCTGGATGAGTGGCGACTAATGGCTTTATATAATCAGATACCTAGTATGTGAAGTCTGATTGAGAAAGGAAGAGATTTTATAGAGACTTATAAAACTTGTTTCTTTAACAGCTAGTTAACTCTAAGGAAACAGTTGGAAGTAAATATCTTTGTTAAAGATTGTATGCCTCTGCCCCATTGATTAAGGGCTTCCAGTACTATCTGTAAAACAAGAAAGAGAAAACTTGATATTCCTGATAAATCTAAAGGAAAAACACAAGTTGAGAACACCTTTTTAAAAAGATACCTTTTCAGTGTTGTCTTTATCCACCACAGAGAAGCTAAAATGGCACAAACTCAATTTTTTTCTTTGCACGTTGCTATTTAAGAATTTGAGAAGAGGAGGCAGAAATTTTATACTGAAATTGCAGTCATACAAAACACCCAATATAAAATACACCTCTACCTCGATATAACGCTGTCCTCGGGAGCCAAAAAATCTTACCACGTTATATCGAACTTGCTTTGATCCACCGGAGTGCACAGCCCCACCCCCCCGGAGCACTGCTTTACCGTGTTATATCCGAATTCGTGTTATATCGGGTCGCATTATATCGGGGTAGAGGTGTAGTAAGCATATTTAGCTAGAAATTCAGATTTACTGCTATCAGAACTTTTCCTGGTTCCATGGTGCTTTTCTGCACATTGGTTGAATTGGATCTTATCCTCCCCATCTCTTCATAAACTGGCTCAGGGGCTGTCATACTTTTTCAAAATGTATAGCATATCTTACAAGATAATCTACCACAGGGGTCGGCAACCTTTCAGAAGTGGTTCATTTATTCACTTTAATTTAAGGTTTTGCGTGCTGGTAATACATTTTAACGGTTTTTAGAAGGTCTCTTTCTATAAATGATATAACTAAACTACTGTTGTATGTAAAGTAAACAAGGTTTTCAAAATGTTTAAGAACCTTCATTTAAAATTAAATTAAAATGCTGATCTTACGCCGTCGGCGTCCTCAGCCCGCTGCCGGCCTGGGGTTCCGTTCACCCCCGACTGGCAAGGGGCTGGCAGCCAGAACCCCAGGCTGGCAGCGGGCTGAGCAGGGCCGGCAGCCGGGACCCCAGCTGGCAAGGGGCCGGCAGCCGGGACCCCAGACCGGCAGCAGGCTGAGCGGGTCCCGGCCTTGCCCACATAGAGTGGGTACCTACCTTCTCCCTGGTTCTGGCCCATTCTCTTCCTCTCTCTCTGCACTGAGCTGAGGGTAGGGGTGCACTGAGCACAGGGCTGGGGGTTAAGGAGCAGGCTGGGGGTTGGGGTGCAGGATCTGGCCAGGAGCTAGAATGAGGGAGGGGGCTCAGGGTTGGGGCAGGAGGTTTGGGTGTGGAGCGCTTACCTGGGCAGCTCCCATTTGGTGCGAGGGGTGCAGGAGCTCCCGTTTGGTGCTCAGGGTGGGGATGTCGGGGGTGCAAGAGTCAGGGCATGGGATGTGGGGGGCCTGGGTATGTGTGGGGAGTGCAGGAATCAGGGCAGGGTGTGTGCAAGGAGGGTGCAGGAGTCAGGGCAGAGGGCTGGGGGTGTGTGAGGGGGTGCAGGAGTCAGGGCATGGGGTGTGGGGGGGCTGGGTATGTGTGGGGGGTGCCAGAGTCAGGGCTGGGGTCGTGGGGGGGATGTAGGGGGCTGGGGTGTGAGGGGAGGGTGCAGGGGTCAGGGCAAAAGGCTGGGGGGTGGGCTGGGATCGGGGGGGTGCTCCCAGCCCCCTGCCCTGAGCGGCTCACGGCAGGGGGCTGGAGGTATACGCCCTGATTCCACCCCCTTCCCCCAAGGCCCCGCTCCTGCCTCTTCTCCGCCTCCTTCCTGATCTGAGCAGCGAGGGCGCTGGGGCTCCTCTTCTCCCCTCCCTCGCAAGGGCCATCGGCGGCAGGGTGGGAGAGGAGGCGGGGCACGACGCAGCATGCTGGGGGAAGAGGTGGGGGAGGGGGAAGCTTGGCTGCCGGCGGAGCCTGCCCTACAGCAGCAGCCGCCGGCAGGGCCAAGCTTGCTTCTGCCCCTGCCAGAGAGAGCGGTAGGCGGGGGCGGAGAAGAGCAGGCTGGGCCGGGCAGATTTTTAATGGCACGCTGCTGCCTGCCAGGGTCCTGGCCGTCAGCCCCGCTCAGCCCGCTGCCGGGGTTCGCAGAGTGCCATTAAAAATCGGTTCGCGTGCTGTCTTTGGCACGCGTGCCATAGGTTGCTGATCCCTGATCTACCATGTATGCCTCTCCTCCCATTCATGATTGCACAACCTGTCTCTGACTATATGATGTCCTCATGGCAACTACAGTAATTTCTTACATAGTGCAGTAATAGGAAAATATTGATGTATTTTAAATGCTGTCTTCTAGTAGATTTTAGGATCTGGAAACAAGGAAAAACGGAGTACTATGATCACCCAACCCCCGTGCATCTAGACCTCCCATACGCAGACACCCCTGCCAGGCCTCACCGTGTACATCCAGAACGCCCCTAGCCAAACCCCACCCCATTGAACCCCAACCCCTGCATCTGGAGCCCCCCTGCACGCAGACACCCCGCCTCCGGACCCCCACCCTTGCACCCAGACCACCCCCCACTGAGATGCCTGCACTCAACCCCCCACCTGATGCCCCACCCTGAGCCCCCATATCCAGACCCCAGCTAGCTGCACCGAGACCCCCACCCCACTGAGCCCCACTCCCTCAGCACCCAGACCCCCCCCAGGGTGACCAAATGTTCCAATAAAATAAGGACTGTCCCGCGTCCTGATCAGTGTACAATCAGGACGCTATTTGTCCCAATATTCAGGTAAGGAGGCGAGTTGGAGGGAGGTGCCGACTCTGTGGGTGCACCCACAGGGAAAAATCGCAGCCAAGCTCCCCCCTCCTCACCTCCTTCTCCCCCCAGCGTGCCGCATCCCCGCTCCCCCCCCACAGCACTTCCCGCCGCTTAACCGTTGTTTGGCGGTGCTTAGCGCTTTCCAGGAGGGAGGGGGAGGAGCGGGGATGCGGCACACTCAGGGGAGGAGACAGAGAAGAGGCAGAGCAGGAGCGGGGACTTGGGGGAAGGGGGTGGAATGAGGGCGAAGTGAGGGTGGATGCTTGGGTGGGAAGAGGCGGGGGGGGTGGGCGAGCACCCACCCAGCAGAGGGGAAGTCGGCGCCGTAGGGGTGAGTGGCAGTTGGGGGACTGAGGAGGGACGCAGCAAGCCAGCAGGGGGTCGGGGGAGGAGGAAGGGCACGCAGGGGAGGAGGGGCAAGTGGGGAGGGGACGGGACCTGGGGCAGAGTGGGGGCGGAGCCTGGGAGGAGTGAGGGTGAACTGTGGATGGGGCTGACAGCACCCCAATGTGTCCCGATATTTTAGTGTTGTGATCTGGTCACCCTAGACACCACCCCCCCCCGCTGAGCCCCCCACACCCAGACCCCTCAGCTGAGCCCCAACCACTTTCACCTGGAAGCCCCTGCAGAGTCCCATTGCTGCTGCACCTGGAACCCCCCCCCCCCATGAGCCTCTGTGTATCCAGACTCCCCACACCTAGACCCCCCACTGAGCTGCCTGCACCCAGATTGTCCCACACAGAATCCTCTCACCCCACACCTGGATCCCCCCCACACTGAGCCCCTCCACACATGGATCCTGCCTGGTGAGCCTGCCTCCCTGCCCCACACCTGGTGCGCCTGGCATAGAGGGGCAGGGCCCCAGGATGTTTCTGGGGCAGGCCCAGGCCTTGTGCTGCATCAGAGTCGGGTGCAGCCTCACTGCTGAGTCGTGTCCAGGGTGATCTTCCATCTTTGTGCAGAATTTTTAATTTTTTGGCACAGAATGCCCTCAGGAGTAATGATCAGACTGTTCTCTGTGGACCACTGGAGCAAGTTCTTCATGGACTGTAGTCTAAGGAACCTATCATATAGCTATGGTCCTACCAAATTCATAGCCGCGTCACAGATCATGACATCTGGTCTCCCCCCTGATATCGGGTCTTTTGTGTACTTTTACCCTATACTATACAGATTTCACAGAGGAGACCAGTGTTTCTCAAATTGGGACTCATGACCCAAAAAGGAGTTGTGTGGGGAGTTACAAGGTTATTTTAGGGGGGTTGCAGTATTACCACCCTTCTGCACTGCTTTCAGAGCTGGGTGGCCGGAGAGTGGCGGCTACTGACTGAGGGCACAGCTCCGCAGGCAGCAGCGCAGAAGTAAGGGTGGCAATACTATCCCATGCCATCCTTACTTCTGCGCTGCTGGGGGCGGTTTGCCTACAGACCTGGGCTCCTGGCCAGCAGCCGCTGCTCTCTAGCTGCCCAGCTCTGAAGGCAGTGCCACCGTCAGCAGCAGCGCAGAAGTAAGGGTAGCAGTACCACAACCTCTTCCCCTCCCCCCCCCCCCCCCATAACCTTGCGATTCCTCCGCAACTCATTTTTGGGTCATGACCCCTACAATTACAACACCCTGAAAGTTCAGCTTAAAATAGCTGAAATCATGAAATTTACGATTTTTAAAATCCTATGACTGTGAAATTGACCAAAATGGATCATGAATTTGGTAGGGCACTACTTATAGCTCCATCTGTGAATCTTTTTCATAGCTTCTGTGCAGGTGCTCACTTAATGTCATTGTTTGCGCATAAGTCTATAGTAACTTAAATTGGTAACAAAATTCTTTTTTTTGTCCTTACAGTCTTTCACTTAGACTAAAAAGCAGTTATAAAAAACTCTGTTTGAGAGGGGGAGAATTTGGATGCCTTCAATTCAGCAGAGAAGCTACTCTATGGGGCTGTCTTCTCCTTCATGCATATAACTCACTGTGTCAGCATTGTGCCTTCCAGAAGATGCAGGCTAAAATCCTTTTTGTGATTTATACTGTGCTGTTGGCTTAAATCTCTTGATGCGAATGTTAATTCTATTCTTAGTCTCAATTAGATATTCTATTCTTAGTCTCATTTTAGATATTCTTTCTTGCAGAATTTGGCGTTCATTTAGCAGAACTGACTGTAGATCCCCAGGGAGTATTGGCCATTCGTCAGGTGAGTCTTCTCAAGCATGCTGTAGAGAAGAGTTGGATTATAACTTTTGTTGGTTTATAAACTGTCCACTCATACTTCCTTTTTTAAAAAAAGTAAAATTAAATGCTATTTCTCTAGAAATCTAATATATAGGAGCATGTAGCAATGAGAATGTTTTTGTGCTCAGCACTTAATCACATTTATAATAACCAAAACTACATAATAGCTTTTTTCGGTAACTGATTTGAGGACTGGGGAACTAGTGTGGGGATGTGGGAATGGGAAACATTCTCTTGCTGGCTTGTTCTATAGCAGACTGTTTTTGCCATTTATATGTGCAGATGAGAAGTCATAGGTATTATTTTCCAATTAGCATTACTCCATTTTCTTTTAAATTTGTTTTTGTCAAAAATCGCATGAATATTATCCACGTGTGACTACCTCTCATCATAATGCTGTTCAAGCTCAGTACATGTGGTGCTCAGACACTAAAGTGGTGATGGTGGTATAAGCACCTCTATAGAATAGAATCTATATACGGGGTGGCATCAGTGAGCAGGGTAGCATTGTCTTACCATCTTTCTGTGACAGCTGGCTTCTAGAAATCCTGTTCCATTTTCATCCTTTTTGAAGATTACCATGTTGGAGGGAATGGCATCTCATGTTACTTGTTACTGGATCAGACCTAGCATTGTTATGCTTTAGCAGACCTTTCCTGTCCTAAGAAGCTCAAGGCCCATTCTGCCAGAGTGGTAGCCAGCTTCTAGGCTGAGAGGGGGAAGCCTCTGTTCCTGAACACTGCTGAGCTACCTGGTGCTCAGTTGACACTTTCTCTAGGTACTGCCACCTCAACCAGGTATTACTGGCTAATGCTGCTTTTAGACATAAGGTTCTGAGATGAGTCTTGCCCATCCTATTGCCTTATCTTCTCCCTTAGCCTCTCACCACATATAGGGAGGAAAGGAAGATTGTCCAAGCACTGTTGATCATACCCAGCATGCACAATGGTTGTGGCTGCATCACAGAAAAACAAATTTCTTAAATTGCTAAATGTTTCCCATAATGAGATAACATCAGTGCACCTCCCAGGGTGGATTGGCTCAGCCAGGGGCTAGATGGGGAATGCAGGACTATGTACTCTATTTCTGTAGCTTTGGAATATTTCCACTGAGGAGAAGTGTGTGGCAAGCTGCTAAGGATGGGGGCAGTGCCTTAAATGCTTCATCGAGTTTGTCCCCAGGCTGACAGCAGAGATGGGACTTATAGATTGTACACACGGATGTTGCCACAACACAGAAAACACATAGCAAAGTAGTAAAAATCTGCTTTTATAATGGTTTAAAACAGCAGGTCTCAAACTTTGCTTCCCATACTGCTTTCTTAAATTATTGTAAAGTGAATAGATGGAACATAAAGTTTACATGCAACAGGTGGTACATGTACCACAGTTTGAGAACCTCTGGTCTACAGGTTCATAGATAAGGCTAGAAGGGGCCATTGTGATAATTTATTCTGACCCCTTCTGCATACCACAGGCCATAGGAATTCCTTGAATTAATTCCTGATTGAGCTAGAGCAGATCTTTTAGAAAAAGATCCAGTCTTGATTTAAAAATTGCCAGTGATGGAGATTCAGCACAACCCTTGGTAAGTTGTTCCAATAGATAATTCGCCTCACTGTTAAAAATTTGCACCTTTGCCACCCATGGGATCTTGTTATATACCTTTGTCTGCGAGGTTGAAGAGACCTCTATTATCAAATTTATTCCTTGTGTAGGTACTCATAGACTATGGTCAAGTGACCCCTTAACTTTTTTCTTTTGTTAAGATAAATTAAGCTCCTTTAGTCTTTGACTGTAAGGGATGTATTCCAATTCTGTAATCATTCTTGTGGCTCTTCTCTGAACTCCCTCCAATTTATCAACAAAGTATGTCAGTAGCGGTTACATCTGTGCCAAATATAGTAGTTGTATGATCTCCCTATTGCTACTAGGTAATCCAGTTTAAACATCTAAGCATCACATTAGTCCTTTCAGCTATAGTGTTGCAGTGGGAGCTCATGTTCAGCTGATTATCCATCATGACTCCCAAGTCTTTCAGAATCATTGCTTCCCAGGTTAGAATCCCTGATCCTGTAAGTACAGCCTACATTCTTTGTTATGAGATGTATGACCTTTCAGTTGGCTGTATTGAAACACGTATTGTTTGCTTGGGCCCAGCTTACCAAGCGACCCAGATTGCTCTGTATCAGTGACCTGTCCTCTCTATTATTTGCCACTCCCCCAATCTTCATCACCTGAAAATTTAATCAGTGCTTAGTTTGTTGTCTTTCAAGTCATTGATTAAAAATAAGTAGATTAGGGCCAAGTACCAATCTCTGCAGGACCCCACTAAAAACACCTGCTTAATGATGATTCCCTGTTTACAAGTATGTTTTGGGACCTGTCAGTTAGCCAGTTTTTAATCTATTTAATGTGTGCCATGTTCATTTTGTATCATTCTAGGTTTTTAGTCAAAATGTCATGCAGTACCAAGTTAAATGCCTTACTGAAGTCCAGGTATATTACATCAACACATCATGCATCTGAAGAAGTGGGCTTTTACTTACGAAAGCTTATGCCCAAATAATTCTGTTAGTCTTTAAGGTGCCACAGGACTCCTTGTCGTTTTTGTGGATACAGACTTAACACAGCTACCCCTCTGATACTGTTACCTTTATTAACCAAACTTGTAATCCTTATCTATCTAGTCAAGTTAGTTTGACAAGTTCTATTGTCCATGAACCCATGTTAATTGGTGTTGATTATATTACCCTCCTTTAATTCTTTATTAATAGAGTCCTATATCAGCTGCTTCATTGTTTTGCCCAGGATCAATGTCAAGCTGACAGGCCCATAATTACCTGAGAGGTGTCCCATTTACCTCTTTTAAATATTGACATGACATTAGCTTTCTCCCAGTCTTCTGGAATTTCCCCGGTATTCCAAGAGTTATTGAAAATCAACTTTCAGTCCAGAGAGTTCCTCGGCAGCTCTTGTAAAACTCTTGGAAACAAGTTTTCCGAGTCTGCTGACATAAAAATGTCTAACTTTAGTAGCTGCTGTTTTGTAGCTGCTCTGTGAGGAGAGATTAATAAGACTGGGTCTTTTCCAAGAGACAACTAAGGGGGGATATGATTGAAGTCTATAAAATCATGACTGTGGTGGAGAAAGTAAATAAGGAAGTGTTATTTACTTCCTCTCATAAGACAAGAACTAGGGGTCACCAAATGAAATTACTAGGCAGCAGGTTTAAAACAAACAAAAGGAAGTATTTCTTCCTACAATGTGTAGTCAACCTGTGGAACTCTTTGCCAGAGGATGTTGCGAAGGCCAAGACTGTAACAGGGTTCAAAAAAGAACTAAATAAATTCATGGAGGATAGGTCCATCAATGGCTATTAGCCAGGATGGTGTCCCTAGCCTCTGTTTGCCAGAAGCTGGGAGTGGGCAGCAGGGGCTGGATCACTTGGTGATTACCTGTTCTGTTCATTCCCTCTGTGACCCCTGCAATTGGCTGCTGTCGGAAGATAGGATACTGGACTAGATGGACCTTTGGTCTGACCGAGTATGGCCGTTCTTATGTTCTTATTAGGATCCTCCTGAGTTACTATCAGAATGGAAAGTATTGTATCGTATATGACATGGCTACATAGTTTTTTCCCAATTTCAGAACAGAAATATTTATTGAACACTTCTACCTTGAAGAATTGCAAATTTCAGGCAGCTCAGTAATTAAGATGATGTATAGTGCTCAGGTTGCTAGAAGATCAACTGTGTGTTGAAGTGGCTATGGCTAATTACAAGGGATAAAATTGAATTGCAGATTCTGAATGCAACGTTGGTAGCTAAAGTCTATAAAATATGCTACAAATCTACAGCATCCCTATTCTGCCAGCTTTATACCTGGACAAGAATGTCCCATTTCCTTTTAAAGTTTAATATGGACAATATTAATTGTCAAAGTTCAGGTCAGCTACACCTGTATTCTTCCTCCGTAATCACTTGGGGGCACCCTCTTTAAGCTCCCAGCCCCTCAGTTGTCACGTCTCTTGCATGGAGACCTGTATTTCTCTCCCTCCTGACCAGGGTTTTCCAGGCTGTACACTTCCCTCCTACAATGAGTTCCTCAGCAAGTCAGACTTCCTAAGGAGTCCTGCTTTGCATGCTCTTCAGAGGCCATAAACAGTGTAATTGCCCACAGGTATAAGTTGGCACACAGCTCTTTTTAAGCGAGCACACTTTTTCTTAAGGTGAAAGCATTACAGAAAAAACATAATAAAAACAATAAAAAACCCTACATGCATGCTAATAAGCTTACCAGAGACCACCCCCGATTCAAATAAGGGCTTTGGCAGGTGATCGATCCTTCAAAACCCACCAAAGGGTTTTCCAAGGTTACAGGTTCATAAAGTTCATTCTTGTCTGGCTCATTGTTTCAAATGGTCCTTTGAAGCTCTGACTCTTCCCAAGGTTTGCATTAGTCACGTCTCTCCCCTATAGAAGTTACATACAATTCCACAATAATACATAAACTTTGTGTTTTTAATACAATGGACTTCAAAGTCTATTTAAACTGAATTCAGACAGGATTTTTAATGATAATGGAGGAAATTGCCATATCTCAGAGTCAGGGTTTAGGGCTGGAAGGGACCACCAGATCATCTGTTCTGATCTCCTGTATATCATAGGCAACCAGCACTCTGCATTAAAGTCAGCAACTGGAATTAGACCAAAATATTACATTCCCCGGGAGACTAGACTATTATGTGCTACAGGCAGAGAATAGGAGGCCCTTGCAATGGCATAGAAATGATTAAATGAGATATACCCAGAAAATCCTGGAAAGTGACCCTCATCCACACACTGCAGGGGAAGATGAATCTGACCTGGGGGAAAATTACTTCCCAACCCCACAAATGGTGATCAATCAGACCCTGAGTATGTGAGCAAGAACTAGCTAGCCAAGCACCTGGGAGAGAGAC